AAAAAAAAATGCAAAAGTACATTTTTAAATTGATTTTAAAAAAGTAACGGAAAAGTAACGAAAAGTTATTTTTCAAGTAACGGTAACTGTAACGAGTTACTTTTAAAAAGCGATAACTGTAACTGTAACTAGTTACATTTTTTACTCGGTAACGAGTAACTGTAACTAGTTATTTTTAAAAAGTAACTTTCCATTCCCTGGGTATATGTATGTAACTTGTACCACACACGTGTACCAGTGTATCCCTTAAATGTCCCTTTAACATCGCACATGAATTTAATACATATTTTTGGGAGCTGTATATGTGAGGTTTGAGGCAAATTAACAGTTTAGTGTTATCTATGGGAGTCTGTGGTTAATGCGCAGCTAAACACATAATTAAATCATAATGATATCATAAGATGCCATTCTGACTTCATAAGTCACTTAAAAATGAATTAATACATATAAGTAACAAATAAGGTTATGATGATATCTTTATGATGTTATTATGATTTCTGCTTGGATTTCGCGTGTACGTTAAGCAAAGCCAAAGAGCTCTCATCATCTCTCCGTTTCGTCGGTCTTATGTAATATTGTCCAAATGAGTCAACAATTTCTCTTCTTTGGTAATCTTCTTTGATAATCACACAAAGAATTACGCGAAATATCTAAAAAAAATACATCAAGGTTTGGATGAATCAGAACTGAGAATAACTTTGTTATACTATCAGAATTATTATGTAGAGTGTTCAAACATAATGAGTAATGCCGCAAGGAATTTTGACATTTAATAAATTTGAACGTTCTACATAAGTATTTTTATGGTCAACTACAATTATTTTCACATCTGTACATAACTAAATTTCTAAATATTTTAGCAAAATCGTTTCCTCTGTGCATTTATAAGGTATATATTTTTAAGTGACAAAATAAATGCGGATTTAGGATGAGTTCATACAAAATATTCTTGGTACCATTAAAGCTTTTGCGATCGCTTGGACCATTTATCGAGCCCTTATTCGACAGTCAGGTCATTTGCAGTAGGTGAAACTTTCGCCATTGTCTCGAGGACACAATTACACTCCTCGTCAGAATACTTATCGCACACTACAAAAGATAACTTCTTGATGAATGTTTATACAATTCTCTCCTGATATGTACTTTCATATCATTTGCTACTTTCGACAGAACATAAAACTGCTTTTTTACAATTTATTTACAGCTTGATCAAGCAAATAGGGGAATACTCAAACATATTGTGCACATTGTTAATGATTCTAGTTTACTTAATTATATATGGTATTAAGCTGGTATTTAAAGTAGTTTTTCAGTAGAAATTAGGAAGGCTAATAAAGTTATTACTTATTAATAAAGTTCCATTAATTGATTAGTCTCTTCCATGATTATTCGATAATGTAAAATTAATTGTTAAAGATAATTCAAGCATTATTATGTGTACAATTAATTAATTAATTAATATATTTACTCTGGTATATGATAAATTAAAGAAGTGTATTCTGTACTTATATATTTTATAATAGCAGTATTTTTTAGCTATATTGTAATAGACTAGAAAAATGTACTTGCATCGCTATCAACTTTTAAGGAAGTTGATCGTTTAATATTATCGCATTTTCTACAATTTGTCCTCTTTATACTACTATTTGCTTTTTCAAACCATGGCTATAGGTACAAGGACAGTATTCTATCGTTTTAACGATATCTTCTAATCTAAATATTCTAAATATTCTAATTTTGTAAGACAGAAATGTTAATAAATAAATATAATTAAATTGTATGTAATTAAAGATTTTTAAACGTAGAATTGGAATTAAATTCTTATTTTAAAATTGAGAAATTTAATATTATCTTAACTTTTAATTTCTTTAGAGATAATGGAACAAACAAATGTTTACATTTGCTTTATCTTAAGAAACGTATACCATTTATGATTTTATATCGAATAGAATCATTATCAATTCGGAAAATTAGGGTACTGTGATAATTGCTTATCTGCTAGTAATCTGACAACGTTCGTATACATTCGCACTTGAAAAGTAAAACGATCGATAAAATCGCGAGTGAAAGTCATTTGTTTTCTTTCGATTTTACGTGAAATTTTTCATATAAAGTTTATTGATGGCTTATTGAATATTTATTAATAACAATATAATTTTTCATTAAATGCATGCAGAAGTTTTAGTGTTTTTTTTTTAATTTTCTTTTATTTATACGTAAAGAAATACTTTCTTTTATTTTTTTCGATCAAATCGTATAATTGACGATAATAGTATTCGGTATTAATGGTTTCACTTAATTTAATTAATATGTACATTATTTAAATATATTGTTTTTCTTTTCGTAAATATTGTTAAGTGTAATATTACAGTTAACAATTTCTTCTCGAATTGTATTAATAGCTATAATAGGCAAAATATTGAAAACAGTATAGATAATAAAAAGCATTTCATTATATATATGTTAGAAACAGTCTATTCAAGTTTTTATTAAAATTTTGTGTTGAACTTTTAATGTATGTATCCAAGTGTTAATTTAACACACTGGCATTATGTTATTTTAATACAGCTGTGTGCAAGTATTAGGCATTTACAATTTTTTCGTATTTTACAAAAAGTTAAATATCTCGGCGAAAGAAATCTCAGTGAGGTTTCTGACCACGCATTTTAAAGCGTAAAAATAGAGCTTTATAAATGTTTGAATCTTTTATCTATGATATTTTGTTCGTAAATTACATCGGATGTTTCAGACCACATATACTATCCCTTTAATTTTACAAGATAAGGTCTAATCGAAAAAGTGTTCAAACAAAAGTTGTAAAGTTTAAAAAGTCTATATATATTTACTGATATTATAAGTTTAACCTTGGATGGCGTAGCCAAAATCAGATTAAGGTCACGTCGATTTTTTAAAATAAAAACCTCTATTTTTATTATATATTCTTGTAGATTATCTCAAGAACTTTTCGAAATACTACATATAACAAAAATAATTAATGAAAAAAAATTTTGTTATGATGTTTTAAAAAGTTCTTGAGATAAGCTACAGGAATATATGTAATAAAAAAAGGGATTTCCATTTACAAAAATCGATGTGGCTTGATCTGATTTTGGCGACCCCAGGTCAAATAATGAAAAAAAAAAACCAATAAATAGATTTTTTAAATTCTATAATTTTTTCCTGAATTATTTTTCGATTGGACGTTATCCTGCAAAGATAAAAGGTGATGTAGAGAGAGAGAGAAGAGAGAGAGGTGGTCTAAAACACATAAAATTAAAAAATATCTTTGCAATCTTTTTGTTTTACTTTAAAGCGCTACAGTTTAAACATCAACAAATAAAATTTAATATAAAAGTATATTAAACTAGTTTCTTTAAAATGTTTTTTGAAAAAAAGTGATACAATAATTTTTCGCAAAGATATTGAACTTTTTATAACGTAAACTTTTATATTGTATGTAAAAACTTTTACTTCTAAAATGCTTTTCAGTTTTGAAACTAATATATTAATACTAAAAATATTAATCAAGCACATTATAACAAATATTTTTTTATTTTCTTTCCGTATACTTTTTAGTTTTAAAATTAAGAAACATTTCACAATGTATTTAATTATTAAGTTACAATTATTACTATTATCAGTAAAAAGCGTTGGGTTCTACTAGACACATTTTTTTAAATTTCTCACTAAGTTTATATTGTAAAGTATTGCCAGACCGTTTTAATTCATAAACAAGATGTAGACGACGTACCTCCTTTGTTTTCATTATCTTCGAACATTAATGGTTACTTCATGACACTCGTAAATTATTGTACGTGCTTGTATGTGTGCTATTTCAAACCTATTCCAAATTTATTTTCAAATTATCATGTTGCAATACTAACAATAAGTATAATAAATAGAAAGTACAATGAATGGAAAGATATAGGAAAGAATACAAGTATTCTCTAAAATGAATTTATTTCTACTGTACAATTTATATTGTCTTTCAAATATTTTATGTTCAACAATATTATCTATGAACAAATATTTGATGGGATTTGAAATATTCTCTATAATTGCTAATTTAGTATTGCAAGATTTAGAAGAAAAAGCACTCAATTCAGTAAATTTGGATTTGTCATTTTATTATCGATATATAGATGCCATAGTTTTAGCAGCACCTAAAGATTAACGAAATTGTCAACGTTTTTAATAGTTTTCATATTCATGTCGTTTACAATTTATGTCATCACATAGTTAAATTAGAAAAATCAATTATAATTTGAATTTTTTGACAGTAAGGGATGATACGATTTTTGTTAATTGGTTCCATAAAAAGACATTTTTAAGTGGATAATTTTGTAATTTAGTCATTCCTCTGAGTTTAATTAATCAAAGATGCTGATTTATTTCTTCACTCTGAATTATCTCGTAATTGTTTTTATTGTTGAAATAAATCATCTATGTATATATGATATGTATATATTTTATCAATTTACCTCCTGGGAAACTACTCTGTATTTTTTCAATAACAATTGTTTTGATTTGTTACTATCCGCAACTTCATTGACACAGTCAAATAATACTTCGACAAAATTTCGTATTGCAAACATCGATGCGTTATACAAACGTTAAATTTTAATTTACTTAATTGTCAATGTTTGATCATTACAGTTTTCATGTTATTATATTGTTTGTATTTGTTTCTGTATTGATTTTCAGCCAAGTTTACTGTGAAGGATCTTTGTTACATACGGTGCAGCTTGCTGGAATTTTTAACGACAGCAAAACCTTTGTGGACCTTTATCAATTACACGATCCAAATATAACCATCGAAAAGTAAGTTACTACAAAAACGAGAAAATTGAGACTTACAGAACGTAATATCTTTTTCTCTTTTTAAAAAAGGTGATAAAAAAATGAACGTTTTTATGGTTCCATATCATATTTTTCTCAATGCACTCAGTCTATTCATTTGTACGGATTTTATATGACTGGATAAAAAATAAGGGTGAACATTTATTTTTACATAGCCTCCTCCAAATGACTTCCAATAGTTCTGACTCTAACTTTGATGTTGATATTGATGTTTAAGGAGATCAAAACCATTGACCTTTCTTGATGCTTTTTCTCGCTACTTGTTAAAAAGACGATTTTGCTCTCCGATGAAACAAACTCTCTGCTTTAAAAACATAAATTATCTTTTTATATATTTTTTTGTCTTAAGAGCAGAGAATTTTTATTTTTAAAGTAGATAATACTTTAGTGTATATAATCTTATCTTCTTTATACTTTTTACATTAATTAAAGTGGAAAAACTTTTTTAAGATAATGGCTTTCTTATTAACAGGTACAACTTCCTATAATAGATATACATACTTAAAATAATATCGATTACGGTGCAATATGCGTGCTACTCTATCTCGTTTTGATATATTACAAGAACATTATATATACTACATAACTGAGCTTTTATATTCAAAGGACGATACAATTTTAATAAATGAATATCATAATTCTTTCAAATAGCCTCTTTGTATAATAAATATTCCTGTATCAGTTAGTAATAAATAAATAGTGAAATGTCATTAAAATATATTTGAGTTTTTAATAACTTTTTACAAGTAGCAATTACTGCAATAGATCAATGACCTTGACCTCCTTAAAGGTCTAAGTAAGTCAGAAATAATTTAAGATTGGCAATGTAAAGATAAAGTTTTATTGTATATTGTTTTTACATAATAAAATCACTACATTTAGGTAAAAAAGATAAACTTTTAAATAAATTAAAGAAATGTATAAATATTTAATTTTTTACAAGTTATAAGAGAATCGAATCTGAAAATAATATTACAAGGCAAATATTTAATAATCGTTTTTTACGTGTTCCAACAATACAAATCTAACCGAGTTTATAAAATGTTTTATTAAATTTCTTCTTAAAATATACTTACTTGAATGTTTTTTAATGTGATAAATACACGTTTCTTTATAAAAATTAAAATTCTGTGTATGTATGCGTAAAGGGTGCTAAAGTGAAGCCCAAACTTTGACGTGATCGTTGTTTTATCTATAAAATGTGTTACATCGATATATTTTTATTACGACATAATAACAATTACGTCATCAATATTTTATTCTTACGCATACACACACATAAATTTTTATAGAACAATAGTGTTATAATTAGACGTCTAATTAGACGAGAATAAGTCTAATTATAAGAACTCCATACTGTTTGTGTAAACTACTAATCTGTTATGCACAATTTTGTAAATACAGATTGTAAAACGATTTGCTTTTATATCAAGCAAATGTTGTTAGGCTATTAATAGTTTTGACGCCATATTGAAATGGTAAAGAAGATCTGAATGTAAACAATTTTTTTCATTTTTGTTATAAGTTTGACCTCACATACGTATTAATGCGTATATATATACTGAAAAAATAATCTGGTTAAATTAAATAATAATTCTAGTGGTAAATGTGGACGCGAGATTCAGAATTTTTTAGTTAAATCTATTATTATTTAACTCTAGTTAAAACATTAGAATTTTGATTGATATAATTGTTCTAGTAGAAATAAGAATTCTAATAAATTTTACTAAAAATATTGTATCAATCAGAATTCCCCCCTCCCCCAATTATTTTAAACTTCTATCTGATTATCTAAAATTCTAATAAATTTAATTATAAAATTCTGATTCGTCTATTTTTAATCAGAAACTTTTTTGAGTGTACTCGAAAATTCTGGAAAAGGATTTTTAAATCTGTAAAAAAAAGAAAAATAATTGTTATACAAAAATTATTGCGATCAATTGGTGAAATAGACGACTTTAAAATCTCCTGAAGGGGAAGCTGCAGCGATGGCGATTATCACGAATTATCGCAATCAAAATTTTCGAGTTGGCTTTACGGATTACACAATCCTTTACGGAATTAAAATACGTACAGATAGAAAGTGCGGATATATTGATCTCACAAAAAAAGTAAAAATTCAAAGAATTCATTTACTCTTGACTTGTATAGTTGTCACCTAAGATTAAAGTTTGCTTAATATAATAATAGTTTTATAGTTTATATTATGTATAACATAAGTATTTAACAGACCTCAGATTACTTATCTACAAAACAAACAATACTAAATTTGTAAAACTAAGAAAAACTGACAGCATAGAAAAAAATTATATTAAACGTGATTCATGTATACACGTACACGTAAGTACGCTTAGCAAAGATTCAGTAAACAAAGCAGTGATCGTATCTAGCAATAAGTGCTCGATCTTGCAAGAGGTGACGCTGTAACATGTTAGCTAAAGATAAATGTATGCAATTGAATGAGATAGAATGAACATAAAACACTGATTTAGAGCTATTGCTAACGATATTAATTTGGAATTAAAAAGTTTATATAGATATATGGTGTACACATGGTGTTTCGTGAGACTTCTCCAATTGCGCATAGGAAGATAGATAACATAAATGAAATAAACATAAAAGTCCTGTATTGTTTAGCGATATTTCGTAATAATAATCGAGATATTCATTTTTGTAGTTGTACTAATGAGAACACGCTGAAAGAAGTACTCCTTTACTGGTTTAGCCTGGCCGAATTTGTCAAACAAACATACACTATTCGTAATTCATTTATCTATATGAAATTATTGCTGTTTAGTCTTTGGTATTCTGTAAAATCAATAGAATTCAGTAAAAAATCAAATGAACAATTATTTGGTAAGTCATACTTTATCCTAAACAATAAAAGTTATCAGATGTGAAAGATATTAAAATTACATTCTACCAAGTAGTAATATCTTTACTATAGGAATATGTTAATTACATTTTTTTTCTTTTATATTTCCTTTAAAAGGCTTTATTTCAATCTCTTAAAAGGGTAACAGTAATTTTAATTAAATAAAAACTTAAAAAAAAGGTAAAGAAGACGCTAAGAGTGTGTGCTCCGTGAAAAACTACCAACGTACTTTCTTTACTATTATGTAACGTATCTTTTAAAAGTAAAACCCAAGGGGTACTACTTTCATTTAACTGATACGTTAAACTTTGACGAAGTAAAACCCTAGTGATACAATACGTATCCTTCTGTATGAGATACGAAGAAGCCGGTATCTTTCCCATGAGAGCAAAAGTATTTCGCGTCTGTAGATATATATGCGATTAAATTTATTATTAACCTTTTTGAAAAAAGCCTTTTAAGGGAAATATAAAAGAAAAGAAATATGACATACTTCTTGGTAAAGATATCTAATAGGAGAATACATTTCCTGAAGACAAAATTGCTAACTCGATCCGAATTTCTTATTAGATAGATATCGTATCGTGGTATATTGGATGTCGTACGCTGTCTGAGGCCTTAAGCCTGTTCTACAATAGGATCGTAAGCCGTAAGAAATTAACCAATCATAATCGATTGTTCTTTTTATATTCAACTGTGATTGGCCAATTTTTTATGGCTTACGACTTACAATTTTATTGTAGAATAAGCATTAGGCTTGTTATACAATAGACCGTATGTTGGCATCGTGAGCCATATGTCGTAAGACTTGATCAATTACAATTGAATGTGAGGAGAATACTCAAATGTGATAGTCCGTTCTCTCTACGGCTTACAGCTCACTACACCAACATATAGCGTATTGTATAACAGACCTTACACAAGTAGCCTACACAGAGTAGGAATTTGTAAACCGTAAAAAATTAGCCAATCATAATTGAATATGACAAAAATAATATATCGACTATAATTGATTAATTTCTTACTGTTTACGAATTACGATTTTGTTGTGTAACAGCCCTGAATCTTACTATACTATACATATAATACTACATAAACAATGTTTCTGATGCATCCTATTGTGGCGATCTCAACTTCATACTTATTTATACTGGCATTGAAGACCATAAAGATTTCTGTTTTACAGCCGCACGTTTGTAACCGTATACACACACATGTACACACACATTCATCTTTTAGGCTCACATGTTTTATCTGCAAATTTTTATAAAAAAAGACAATATTTCCTTAGTAACTGTTACTTGACAATACAAATAAATATTTACATTATTTATTCACATCTATTTGTAATTCACACAAAATATATCTTGTTGTAAATCCCCAAATAAAGCTTTTTATTCTGAAGCTGAAAAGTCTAGTCTTTACGTAGCAAGTACCCATAAATTGGTGATCCCGACGTGATCTGAAGCAGGAGTGACCTTTGATTGGTTTTTTTGAATCGACGAGAGCTTAATTTTTATGTTGGTTTGCGGTTGAGATTCAGCGTTCACGGCACATCATTAAGGAAAATTCTTTATGTTGCCCGTGGGACTTCCATTAAAACTCCCGATGTTCAGACAACTTCTGGATGTTTGTGAAGTACCGATTTTTCAGGATGACGAATCACGAGGAGCTAACTTTCGGAGCGCTAAACCACTTCAATCCGGTGAGTTAAGGTCAAGACAAATAGATTCTAATGTGAATTTCGATTTATAAAACTTCCGACGTTTTGGCATAAATATCCTTTTACGCCAACTTTAATTTACTCATTCGAAAAGTAAATGTTTAGTGTACAGAATCCGTTCGAATGATGTTAAGTTCAACTCAGACTTCGTCATTTAGATGAACAAGTGCTTTTAACGGTTTCTGATATCATTGAGAATACTTTTGAAAAAGATAAATACGTTTGTTTAAAAACGCTCTCATTGACCGGTTCACCGATTTTGAAGAGAATAGACTTAGACAGTTTTTAACGGGGATTGAATTTAACGACAAGAAACTTTCCGATTTACTACGCGAAATTAAACAGCGTGCGAAAGTGCGCGAA